GGTTGTGGTGGATACGACAACGCGCGTTGTAACGGCGCAACAACTTTGTGTTCCGGCCGATTAGCTGCTAGTCGAAAACGGCTTCAGCTGAAGGACCTCGCAACCGCGCCACCAGCGTGGAGAGCGGGAAATAAAAAAAGAAATAAAAAAAGTGTGCGAAACTAAGTCCTTACATTTCTCATGACGACGACGTTCTCCATGCGACCTTGGCTCTGCCGGGAGCGCTGGGAGCCGAGCGGGGCAGGACGAGGAGACTCTTTCAGTTGCCCGGGCAGACTGCGCTTCCGCGGGAGGGAGCGGCGCGGGAGGCGCGGGGGAGCAGGAGGGCGAAGAGGGAGACGGATTCAAGGGGGCAGCTGGAGCCGTGAGGCCCAAGGAGCCGCGCGATCAGAGAGACACGCTACCTGCTTCTTCACGCATTTGACGAGCTAAAACTCAATCACGGGGATCCGATAGAGACGCGTCGGTGTATCACTGCTGAAAAGTGGAAAGGGCGTAAGTCCACCGTACTTACGCCCTTTTCACTTTCCACCAATCATATGAACCTGTAAGACCTGCCCAAGGTAGCAGAGCCGGCAGCTCACCCCACCCCACCTCGCCCCGCAACCTTGTAGGCCGCCCGGCCCGGCCGCACACGCCGCAACTCTTTCCCGCCCCGCCAAGTTTATATGGACCGAGTTACCAACTCGTTTATTGCGCGCCGGTGGGCCACAAGTGTGCCGCTCGGCAGTCGGCGCGGCGCGGCCCGAGGCGGGTGGCCATGTGTGTCTCGCTCGGGGTGGGGGATTTTAAAACGGCAAACAACATCTGCTTCAACTAAATCGGACCGATTTCAAAACGCGCGGTGAGGAGGGAAGGGCCCTCGTAGCCTCACTCCGCGCTTCCGCTCCCCTCAGCAGCGCGCCTCACAAAGGCATTTGTTGCTCCTTTGCGGCGATACACGGCGGTGGGCTGGGCTAGAGTGATACTTGCACCAGAGAGGAAAGCGAGCGAAAGGGTTTAGTGGGAGAGAGGAGTAAAACAGTAAAACATACGGGATGAAGAGTGGTTCTGGTAAGAGGAGCGAAAGGGGGGGTAACTTTGAGTGCAGTACCAACATGGCGTCCAAAATCCCACTCAATGGCAGTCAGGGAACCCCACGGCCAAAGGGTAAGTGGATTGCGGCCAACGACCGTTATGCAATTCTCTCTGTCTCTCTCGATCGCAGTAGCCTGCTTCCAGCGTACCTCGCTGCCGCCACCTCCCATATAATCTGTCAGTGTCTTTGCCCACAATACCCACTCTCTCCATTTCTTGGACGCATATAGGCATACCTTAGCGCGTTAGCGGGCGTCCGGCTGGGCAACTCGGCGCGGTGTCGGGCCTCACAGCGCTGCGATCAGGAGTAGTTATCAAACCACGCGTGCTAAAACGCTAAAACGGCCGTCAACGGTATATGCAGAGGAAAAGTGCACTTGGTAATAATCCACGTGGTGCATATTATTTCGGATACCAGCACTCTACAAACAAACCCAATTATGACAGTTTAAACTGCAAAACTAAATGTCTTACAGTAGAGTTTTCAATCAGCCGGTTACCTCGGCGAGCTTACCCGACAGTCTTCTGTCTCTCTCACTCATATCTGACCGACCGATTGCAAACTCTATCTTACAGTTTAAGCCGTGAAACTAAAAATTTCCATAGTTTAAACTGCAAAACTGTGTTGTTCATCAGTTTGAACTGTCAAACTAGCCCTATGCAGTTGTGCAGTTTAAACTGTTTAACATCAGAGCTTTGCAGTTAAAACTGTAGGACTGTTTAATTTCGCATTTTAAACTGAAAGATTTCTTGTTTTGCAGTTTCAACTGCAGGATTACATGAAAACCTTTTTAGTTTCGCAAATTAAACTGTAAGACTTTTTGTTTTGCAGTTTAGACTGCAAAACTTTTAGCAGATTTTCAGAGCAGGTGAGGTGATTGCGAAAACGGTGATAACACACCAAGTGTGTTAGTCGTAGTCGTCCAATCAACAGTGTGCATCATTCAAGTCACCTGCTCTTGAGCGGCATTGACACTTCGATTTCCATTGTGACGAAGGAGACAGGTCGTAGAGAGAGAGA